TCCGGAATCTCGCCCACTAGTCCGTACCTAGTAATACACAGACCACAAGCTGGGACGATCTGGCGGGGAATTACGCAAAGAATTACTTTTCGGGATGAGGAGAACCGCCATCACAACTCAGGTAACTTCGTGTCTCGAGACAATGACGCTGTCTACAGATGTTATTACAATACACACATGAAACCACAGATGTCTGTAGATGGCGTGAGAGTTTCTGTCGGGCACAATTTTAAAACATGCCTATGGTGTTAACCGTGTTAGCCCAGCTAACACTACGAAAATTTAAGAATAAAAAGTCTCCTAACTTACTTTCGTGGTTCAGTTGCATTGGAACACAGGAGAACCGATCAGATAAAATGCATCGTTGGCCAGATGGTTAAGGTTTACGCTCTCCACGTCCTTAAGTGATACCAAATGAAGTTAGGCCCACATGAATGTTGCTTATCTCAGTGTTCATGTTAATTTAATTACTTGCGGAACAGCGATTCAATATAGAACGTATTTATTTTTAAATTACTGTAGAAACAAATCAGAAATTTGACTAGCGTCGAATATGTTGCGACATGTTTGCTTGAGGGCACGAAGCACAATTTTGGTAAAAGTTACGGGAACGATGTAGGCCTACTACAAACTCAAATTTGAAATCGATATAGTTTTAAAATCCGTTCTTTTATAATTTTTTTATGATTCTCCATGCCTCACTGGCTCGGAATTCATTTTTACAGGGAGATAGAGGCGTATTGTTAAAAATTTGCTCACACAGCATATAACTCTGTGTAAGTGCCAGAAATAATTTAACATTTTATCGAAAAATATCTCAAAAATTGTACACTCTAATGAGCATTCTGTTTTATGTTAGTGGTTATTATTTTTTCAGGGAAAATAGTGAATATTTGTGATTAACTTTAGTGGGTACAAAAATAATTTAAATGCGACGTAGACACACACCCCAGAGCTGTCAGGGGGTGGTTGATTCGTGTTAGCCACTGGTCGGCCAAGAAAAGTGAGCTGGCTACAACGGACTGGGAACAAGCGGCTAGCTTCCAAATCCAATTAATCGGAACTCTGTTCATCTAAGAAAATAACAGGGGGCTTATGTCTTGCAAGGTTGTAAAGAATAGAAATCTTCTTGGGATAACCGACGCAAGAGATGCGGTACAGAACACGGCAAAATTGCTGAATCATAATTTTAAAAATTACATGTCGGTCAACATAAAAGCATCACTACAAAATTATAATTTTGGAAGCCGGCATGAAATCGGTTCATCGAATCAAATAAATATATTTTATATAACATATGCCATAATTCTGTAAGAATTTTACTTCAGCACGTTTCGTCTGGTGATTATTTAACGAAGGTGCGAAAAAACTACGCCGATTATCTTCGCCATATCTCTCTGCCCGCACGTAAAAACAAGACAATCGCCGAACGGATTTTCTATAGGTCTGCTTTTGAGTTTTAATAAAATTTGTCATCATTCTAAATTAGATTAAAATCACATGACAGCAACAGACACTTTCCATGAATTGACTTGTAGGTAAGCATCCTGTTGTGTATTCTAAATTTAATATTCCGTGTGTGACGAAATATTAATGCCTATACCTACTTTTCGTGAGGACCTGTACGCGTTTCTGCGCGCATCTCGAGAATAACTAGCTAAATATTTGTCGGGCAGAAGAATATTCAAACAAAAATTAGAGAAAAATAACATCCTGTATGCCCAATACAGTTTTTCCGTAAGTATTACGATTTTCGAGATAATTAAACACATAGGTCAAGAGATTTTTATGCTGAGTCATGTAACTCGAGAACTGTCCAGCTGATTTTGACCAAATTTTGTATTGGAGGTTTCTGCTCGCCCGCCTCGCCTGTTCAACTCTATTACGAGTACTATAAGAAAATATAATGTGGCATTGAACAATTAAAAAAGTTTGGTACGTACGCGTACATTTCCTAACTTGTTATAATTCATATTGGAAATAAAGAAAGAAAGAAACAAGCAACCAACGAAAAAATTTCAATATAAATTCCATTAACCGCTCCAATGCTAAACACGAGATATTTTGCTTAAAACATAGACCAATCTGGTCTAAATTTATTTTTGAAAATATTACGATAAACCACTCCTCCGGTCATAGTTAACCGTAGGACAAGTAGTTTACCATGAAAACATATTAACAGGATGTTTAAAATAAAAAGGAACGGCACAAACAAGTTTAAATCAGTTAAAATGAGCGTGTTTGAGAAAGAACAGGTAACTTGGCGAAACTAATGGGCGTTTTTCACTTTGTTACGTACGGTCCTTTTTCTCTTCTATATAATTAACAGCAAACACGTAAAATTTGCTTCTAAAGCTGTTACGTTCCAGTTAGTGTTAAGTCTTTGCAAAGATTTGTAGAGAATCGATTAATTGCCCCATGTTGTAAAAAAAATGCTGTAATGAAAACAATCGATAACTGTATGCTAGGATTGAAAATTTAGTTTTTTTCATTGAGTAGTTGACTTTTATCTGAAACACTTGCTAACTCCGTTGATGGACAGGTGTTAGAATTTCAATGTTACAGTCACTTTAACGCATGAGCCATCACTTTAAAAACAAACAATGAACATTTCGATCAAGAACGACATGAAGTGAGCTCTGTATGAGTGATGGATCGGACTTTGCCTTGAGCAAATCTTTCTTTTAAACTCCCATTAAGCTCCTAGAAATGTGTTTCAACGGGTGTTCTGCTTGGCATTTAGTCTGTTTTAGGCCCAATATTGTTCACCTCGGCCGAAATTTTCTCGTTTTACGGCCGAAGATAATTTTAGTTTGAAGTTTCCTTTAGATAACCAAGTACTTTGTATTCAACATTATGACTACTACTACATCTGATTCCCCAATCTGGTCGTCACTTATTCTGTCACTAAAATTCAACTCCACTCAGTTCAGTGACTGAAAATACTATGGTAAATTGTGATTTTATTATGTATGTTAAAATACAGATGAGAGACCTAGATGTAGATAGGAGGATAATATTAAAACGGACATGGTAGAAATGGGGTATGAGGGCAATGACTGAATCCATCTGCTCTGTGGTTTTGGTTTTATTCAGTAAAGGCCCGCTGTTTGCTTCAAAGTATGACACTAAATTTCTCCCGAAATTACTGAGATATATTAAATCGTCTTTTCTTATGATAGCATTGCCTTAAGTCCCACGGCTAAACCAATGTCTTCATGCCTTTTAGCCAAAAAAGAAAGTTTGTTAGAAAGAGAAGTTATCAGATTTCATCATCTGGTATTCTTAATCTTAAAGAAGACGAAAAGGTAAAATAACAACACAGTAGCCTTGACTTCGTGTTATTCTCCTCCAGCTGTCTTCTGCTTTCATTCTTTACCTGAACGGTAGACTGAGTGATGTCTGCTCCCTCACTGAGACAAACCAATTTTAACTCATCAATACCACCCCTGCCAACCTCTTGGGTTTCAACCGGTAGGCATCGAAAGTATACCCCAAAATTATGGCGGAAAAAATTATACAAGGAAGGAGAAATACCATAATCGTTTGAACTGTGTGAAGTATAGTGACAGGAAATAATTCTTTAAAGCTGAATAGCGTGTGTTTTGAGAAGGAAAGTTTCGAAATTCTATGAAATGTTGGTTGTAAAAACACACTTGGCGACACTGTTGCACATAATAACTTCGGTCACTTCCTTCTCCACAAAAATAACTATCATTTCACACGTAATAAAATCACCATCATTCACTGTAATCCACACCCACCCTGACTCACATATCTGCCAGGTATCCTACTGAGCGAGAAAGAATTGCAAGAGGTTTTCTGTCTTCCGTCCAGACCGGCTCTGGGGCCCACCCAGCCTCCTGTCCAATGGGTACCCAAGGTCCTTTTCTGGGGGTAAAGCGCGGCCGGGGCGTGACGCTGACCACATCCCCATCTAGTGCCGAGGTTAAGAATTAGTAGCTATGTGTCCTTTCCCCCCAAGCGCCTACATAGGCGTGTAGCGGGACGCTTTACTTTTGTTTATTTCTGCATGTTTCTTGTGAATTCAGAATTCAAAAGGGCACAATGGAGGAAATCACAAAAAGTATCTGGAAACATGGCTGCTCTCATCCATTCAAACCCTAGCTTCTGAAGGTTGATGGAATCTGGAGGCTTGTTACCATATTCACAATAGCACACCAATGGACCCTATCCAGTCCACTCCCTTCTACTTTAATATTCATGTTTTATATTATATTCATAATTTACATGCATTTATTGTGTCTCTGCTTCTTGATTTGGGCACCCTTGTATCAGTTAATCTTCTTCTTCTTCTATCTATCATATACAAAAAAGGCCTTGTGTTTTGTTCCAGTCCAGTTCAGATTTATATTTGAAATAATGAATCCTTTTAGACATTTAGTACGATTCCTTAACCATGGGGACAGCACATCATGAAGCCTGTACCTAAAATAGAGCATCAATTTGCAGAGAGAAGCAAGAATATGTTACCGACTTAGACCTTATATTCTTAATATTTATATATATTTGGAGTTTTTATAACTAATCAGGGCAGTTGGTCAGTGAAAGATTAAATTGAATTACAAATGGTGAAAAAATATTTATGGATTCAAAGCATCATTTCATATAACATTATTAATAGTCTAGAACGTTTTCAGCATATTAGTGAGACTAATTCAAGATAAGTATTTTCTTACGAATTTGTATTGAATTACAGGGCCTTTGATTTAGTCAACCTTTTCATAATTTTTAATGCCATTTGAAATAACTTGATTTAATGATGATTGAATGAATCCGCTGAAGACCATCCCTGACCAACTAAGAGATCCTGGAATCCTAACAACTATTACAAATTCAATTTTGGCATCACTTCAGACTATGTTTTCATCTTTCGTTTGTATTTTGTCGATCACAGAAACATTCTGAACTTGAGATCCTTAATCCCTTTCCCTAAGTCAAAATTTATTATAAAAGTATCACAACTTCTTTTGTTGTAGACGTGGACGAATGTGCTTCTGCTCCGTGTCAAAATGGTGGCACCTGTGTTGACTTGGTGGATAGTTTTCGATGTATTTGTCCATCTGGTTGGGAAGGCAATTCTTGCCAGTTTGGTAAGTAGACTATCTTTTAGATTCAATTAGAGGCCGAGTGTGTGTATAATATATACACGGCTTTCATTTTTTCAGGGATGGCCCTGTTTTTACTTCTACGTTTACTCACAACATTAATTGTTCTTGTTTTCTATATTCGTGTACACCAGTTTCTTTTCAGAATGTCTACATGGAATGTAAGATGCTTGTGTATACAATCCTTGTTCTAGTTGACTTAAGTTTCACAATGTATAAAAAGTTATAAACTCCATTTTCTAAGAACATTACTTAAACTTCACTTAACAGGCCACAAAACATCTATTTTAATAATTTATTATATTTTATGTGGCCATGTCATAGCTCAGGCATATAAATACTGGCTTTTCACTGTAGAGACTTGGGTTCAGTCCCACGTTACTTCAAATGAGATGGACCGCTTCGAAGACGGAGTACATGGGAGGATAACACGGTGGCAGATGTGAAATGGATTGATCTGGCTCAGAATAGGAACTAGAGAGGTCTTGTAAACACTGTTATGAATCTTTGAATTCTATAAAGGGAACTTACTGACTAGCTGAGTGACTGTAAGCTTCCGTGCTCCATGCAGTTATCTTATATTTCAGATATTATATAGGAAATTTCACATATGTTACTTTCTCTAGTCATATCCTAGACAAATGAGAGTTCGGTTAATATTTCCAGATGCAGATGAATGTCAGGGAAGACCCTGTATCAATGCTTACTCATGCCTGAATCTGGTTGGGGACTATAGATGCAAGTGCCAAAAGGGCTGGGCTGGAAAAAACTGTGACCAGAACATCAATGATTGCGTGGGGCAGTGCCAGCATGGAGCTACATGCATTGATCTGGTCAATGACTACCACTGTGCCTGCCAGCCTGGATACACAGGTAAATGTTATATATCTGCAGAACTTGTCTTATTTTTATTTCCTACACATCTGGTGCGTAATCAGTAAACATATCAAAGCTCACATGGGGATGTTCATCAGCCATCAATGCAACCAATGTCAACCAAATGCATGGACACTACATGACTCTCTAAGTATGAAAATTTCAGCCTGGACCACATCTTTGTACATTTGTATATTTATCCTAGGATGATAATTTCTGAACCAAGTTTTAAGATTTTATGTAATTTGTACCATTTATGCAAACTTTCCTTTTAAAATGCTCATACTTTATATTCTAAAGGTCTTGGTGTTGAATCTCAGCCTAAACTGGCCATAATTATAGCATCAACTTATGTTTCAATACAAATATTTCAAAGATACAAATACATGAAAAGAAATGTTTGTTTATTCCCACAGGTCGTGACTGCCACACGGACATTAATGACTGTGAAAGCAATCCGTGCCGTAATGGTGGAGAGTGCTCAGATCAAGTAAATGGCTACCGTTGCATCTGTCCTGTGGGGTTTACTGGTGACCAGTGTGAGGTAGATGAATTGAATCAACTTCTATTTTCAATTTAAAGATATAAACACCACCACAATTGATGATTACACTCCAGCACACAAAATTCATACCCTGAATGAGTCAGTCCTTGCAGGAAATGACAAATAAATCTGTACCCAGATCTTCATATTTGCTGACATGAGAATCTGAAATCTTACCAAGAAATTCCCTGCCTTTTACTGAACATGGAGGTTCATAATTGTATTTTCAAAATCCTGCCAAGAAACCCTGTCCTAAGCCAGCTCAGTCCAATCAACACCTTCCATCTACCTCCCTAAGACCAATATAAAAATTATACCACCTCATCATTCCTGATTTAATTATCCTAACAATATTAGGTACAGAGTAAAAATTATGAAGATGATCGTTACATAATTTTCTACGGTCTTGTATTATTTCCAAATATTCTCCTCAGCACTTTGCTTTCAAACCTCTCAATTGACATTCTTCCTTTAGGGAGTTAGTGAGAGAATGCAGTGTGATTCACAAAACAAGCAACGTATAGTGTTACACATTTTAATCTTTAGCCTATTTGATTAGGAGTTGGTACGAAAAAGGTACTGAGCTGAAAGATTTCAGGTACTTCCTAAATTTACTCTCCTTTTAATTTCACCACAAAAATTTCTCCCCATAATTTATTAACTTACTGACTTATTAATTTACTGACCTTATATTATTTAATACCCTATCAGTCTTGTCAAGCAAATTATTTTCGGAGACATTTTAAGTATTCATCTTATATGAAAATAAAGTAGTCTTTGTAAACACTTCATTGTGAAACACATAAAATTTACAGCCTTATAATAAAATAATGTGACGTTATGCAAAACAAAAAAATGACAATACTGATCTTTGTTATAGTGTAAGTATGATTGATGATGTAAAATAATGACACTGAATGATCACCTTCAATTAAACTTCACTATTTTTGAGATATGAGATCATCCTTCTCACAACATTTAATATTTGTTACCACAATGCAAAAGTTGACATCATTTCCTGTGCTGTAAATAAGTGTAAACTTCAAGACTTGTTTTATAGCATATTTAAATTACTTTTCAAATATTTGTTTTCATTCACACTAAAATGTTATATTTATTTCCCTCACTTTTATTCTTCCAAACATATTTATTTCCTGCAAATAAACATTTACCTTCATTTACTGACGTTTTCTAGAAAAAGTAATATTTTTTATCTTTCAGGTGGATCATGACCATTGCAGTCCAAATCCATGTGATAATGATGCTCCATGCTTTAACACACAAGCAGACTATTACTGCCATTGTCCAGAGAACTGGGAAGGAAAGAACTGTAGCATGCCTCGTCTGCAATGCAGCAGCCCTCCATGTGAAGGTACAGTTAACTGATATTCTACATTACAAGAGCACTGTTTGAATACTTAAAAAACATTTGATTAGACCACAAATGTACCTAAAAATTACATTTCATCTATTTTTAAAAATCTTTATATTCAATTGGCATGTTTACATATAATTTATTTAATGACACTTTCATTAGCTAAGACTATATATTGTGTCAAGTGAGAGGATAGTGAATAATGAACTGTTAAGGACATAATTCAATCAACCAGAAAATGTATCCATGTATTTATCATGAGCGCACACTGTTAAGACAGCGTGGATGAGGCAATCAGTGCAAATGTCCTGTGATGGAACATAACCAAAGCCATTCTATAAAGAGAAAAAGGAACTACAAAACTGTCACACATTACTTTGTCTTTTATTATTGTATAAGAAGTACTGATATAAAATCATTAGACATTCTGTACAAAGACAAATATACATTATCAGTTTGATTAAATTTTTGCACAGTATATTCTACTGCAGCGTTTCTCAGTGGTACACGAGCCAATGTCGAGTGCTACGTGAACTAAGTAAGAAAATCAAAAGATAATATTAACATAAATAAGTTTTCCCTGAACGCATTTGGTTAGTGGTACATTTAATGTGTTAAATTAGAATTAGTGGTATGCCAGCAAAAAAGGGTGAGAACCCCCTGTTCTACTGAATATATTAAAATGCTGGCCAGATACATGAATAAATATGTTCCTAATGCATTCATATACTAAATGATATGGCAAGTCCATCCTTCATCCTGAATGCTTATTTTATAGAACTGGTTATCCTCAGCAGTCCTGGAGGAAAAAGGACAACTTTCTTTAAAATATTATGCCGCCATCTGTGCTGCACCTTAGTCACATTTATGTCATCAGTATTGTACATTGCATTTTATAGGTAATACAAAACTTGTATCAAGCTGCACCCATAAAGACTCTCAACAGTTAAAACTTTTCAGCAGAACCCTTGCTTAACATACTGTAAAACATTTTGTCTTGCCTTTCTTTAGAACTGACATTACTTCAGAAAATATGAATATCTAATATGAATTTCATAAGTTTAAAGTACAATAAATGGTTACTTGAAGTTGGTTCTTGTGTTAGTAGCATAAAAGTAATGTGTTTCAAGCTAGAATTGCTCCATGCCTTTCTTTTTAAATATCCTAAATTACCAGAACCACTGAATATTGATTTAAAAAACCCGAATAGAATGGTATCATTTAATACCAAATAAATTATATTAAATCACCATTGAGGTAAAATTTTAAACAATTTCATTTTAACAGTGTTAGACTGTACCAGGCTGAGGTAGCCAGTGAAACCATTGGAAAAACAGCAGGGAGTCTGGTGGCTCCCTGCTGTGACTAGAAATGGAACCAAAACCAGTATCTCTTAAAAAATAAAAGAATCATATAATAATTTTGCCTTGAGGTTTCATATAAGTTCATTCCAACTTCTTAAATTTAAACACCTCTTAAAATCTCATTATGCCAATCCCCTTGGCTGGAGATGCAAACTGCTCAAAATTTTACAATGCATTTTGCTAAGTCTCATCCTCACTTAACATAAGCTAAAAGACACTAGGCAGGTTATGTAACCATTTAATTGGTTTTCTTTCTTACCCTCCATTCTTTGGGTAATACTAAAGCTTCATCTGCTTAGGTGGACAGACAGGAAAATGGATTTTAATTCTGACAATGCTAAGTCTAACGACGCATATTCACTGTTACATAATATAAATGTACACTTTACTCTTGTCGTTTTCACATCAGTTATGTGAAACCAAGAATTCATGACTAAATAGTATTTTTTTATGACTAGGGTTGCTATATTTCAAATAGGCGTGGGGAACAGAACCTCGAAAACACAAAATGAGAATAGCCCGGAATAACTGATTCCAATACCAGTACAACATATTCTGTATACCCATTATAATTAGCTATCAGTATTAACTAGGTTCCTGACATTTTGCATTCCAAACAAAACATTTGGTAACTGTATCTATTGCCACTCTCAAATGAAAGGGTGGGGCGTGATGCTGATTACTCACCCCCATCTAGTGCCGAGGTCAAGAAAGAGAGGAGCTATACCTCCACTCACCCCAAACAACCTACATGGCATGTAGAGGGACAGTTTACCTACCTTACACAATGGGCAAAGTATATTACCCAGTAATTATAATTGTAATATACTGTCATTAGAACTCTTTAGAAGTAACACTTAGCAACATACAGACCTGCTAGACACTACAGAAATAATCTTCTGAGTTGCACATTGTCTTTGGGATAAGGAAGAAATTAACCTGAGTAACAAGAAATAATTTTATTTTTTCTAACAAGCAAGCTACTATTTAAACAATCAGACATATGTGAAGATTAAACATTAAACTAGTATATGACACGCATCTATGAAGAGTTAAGGGAGTTTAATAACTCTCTAAACCTGATGGTCCAACATTGTTAAAGCCTGCCACTGGACATGATCTTGAGGCAATATGGTTAAGTCATCTGACCCTTGGTTTATGTAAATAGCTCTCTCAACTACGTATGTTGCTTCTAGAGATAGCTGGCAATAAACAGTGAATCAAAACAGCATAGAATGAACAGGTCATGGTCTGTTGTAAGTTAATTTCCAAGAGTGTGCCTACAGGAATAGAGCGAAACCTCAAATAACTTCTGGATAATTAAACATGGGCAGATATTTTAAACCAGATCTTCTTGAATATGAAGCAGGAGTCATAAACATCACAACAAAAAGACTGGTCATTACATTCACAAATATGTGAAGAAGAAGCCTTACTATTTACAGACGGCAAGGACAACAGCAAAAGAATAATGAATGGGAGCTGTTAGAGACCCAGATTTACTTATTTACACAATTCATGTACACTAGTTGGATAACTACATATAATTAAATCAATAAATAAATGTTGTTAGAGCCACGAGTTACATAAATGTCATTAACACAATAACAAATTTCTACCGCATATTGCAGTGGTTGACAGCTGTACAGTTCCAGCACCATCTAATGCAAGTAATAATGGTGCAGTACTGGTCTCTTCAGGAATTTGTGGAGACCATGGGAGTTGCGTCAGCCAACCTGGAGGAGGCTTCAGGTGTTCATGTGACCAAGGCTATACTGGGAAATACTGTCATGAAAGTAGGTCATCTCTTGATCTACATATGTAACTAGGGATGCCCTTGCTAAAAATCTCATAAACACCGATCATCCTACAGGAATAATCATGAATAAAGAAACAATTGCACTGTAAATTTGCATTACCTAAATATGACATTCAGAACATGAGATATGTAGGACTGGAAATCTGTGCAATAGGAAAATAGGCCTTAGTTCTGCCTCATACCCTTGTTTACCTGTAGCTTTAAGGAAATTAAAAATTTAATTTGTGTGTTATCTATCCATTGCAGATATAAATGACTGCAAGCTGAACCCCTGTCAGAATGGAGGAACATGTGTTGATAAAGTTAACTCCTACCAATGTATCTGCAAAGAAGGCTGGGAAGGAGAAATCTGCGGCATTAGTACGTATTACCTTTCCTAACTTGAAATTTTAAACTTAGGTTACACTTCACCATCATTCTGTTGCCAATATCAGCACTTTACAAGTACTGATAATTCAGATTTAGATTCCCTTGGAAAATAAATCTGCAACAACAGTCTATTCATGATAGGTAGATACACTTTTTGAGAAACTTTCCCTGGCATATAGCAATATATAGTGGTGTTCTTTGTACTGGAATAAGCAAATGAGAAAATTACAGAATGAGGTATCTTGGAGGGTAGATATTTTTGGAGAAACACTTTCTCATTTAGATAGTTCTGAAGTGATGGTGCTAGAATAACTCTGCAGAAAATTAAATAAAGATGTACCTTCCATGCAAACAAAATTAATAAAATACACACAGGCTATCAGCCATCTCAAATGGTAAGAGCTAGCCAAGCTTCTACCATATGACACAGCTGGGAGCCCGAGAATATTTTATTAATTTGGTTTGCCATGAAAGTTATAAATCATACATTAGCAACCTTTATGGGGAATATACTTATAAGGCAAGTTATTACCATCTGACACGGCTGATAACAAGAGGATTTTATTAAGATGTATCTAGCACGGTAAACAAAGTTTAAGCACATGCTCTTTATGGACATTTCTCATCCATTTTAGCAATATGCATTCAAAATGTTTTAAAAATTTTACCAACTTATTTGTGAAGTACAACTGCCTTTTTACTTCCATATCTAGTGGGGTACTTGGTATCACAAATATGAAATGATTTTGAAGCTGCTTGGAGCACGCTGACTCATTTCTGCAAATGGAAACCTTGAGCTAGCAGTTATTTTTCACAAAAATAAACAATGTTTACAGCACTGGTAATACAAAAGGAATTTAATGATACTTGTTATCATTAAAATGTAATTTATTATAGCTGTCATAATTTCAGATATTTCTTATAGCATTTAATTTGTAGTGGAACTAATGACAGTTTCTTTAGTCAGAAACCTGAATTATAGGGAAGACAATAACAAAAAATGTAACAAGTTACAATGACAAATTGTTGTTGGTAATGGTAGTGTTCACATGACCACAGAATGCACCATGAGAGTGGCCTTATCTAGAACACAGTGACAAAAGATGACACCGTTTATAAAATATAAAGAGAGTGAACGGAAGTTAGGCTGTACAAAATACTTACTTTTAAAAAATGTCTTTAGTGTAAAAAATACTACTAAAGTAAATTAAAGTATTGCTGTTCTGCTACATGCCATTCAACTGAAATAAAGCTACTGTAAATTAAAAGTAAAGCTACCCCACTATATGCCACGTAGGTGCTTGGTGACCTAAAATATCAATAAAGTGGCCTATACGTTATTTTTACAAATGAATGTTATGAAACACTCAGTGAGGTGATAGGTGGATTAACCCATTAAATCTGAAGCTCATCTAAATAATACTTAAGAGTTCAGTCTGTACCACAAAGAATGCATAACACTTCACCACTACAAAGATCAACTGGTAAATGCTGTTTATTCTGAGAATAACACAAAACCCAAAAACACTGTGTTGGCAGAATTCAGAGTTATTAAAAGTTAAAGTAGGTGGTACATATAATTACCATTTGGCCATAAAAGGTTAAGTACACTGAATTAGAATGGATGAGGAAGGAATTACAAGCATGTATAGTGGTTAGCATACAAGTGCTAGGATGCCAGGTTTGATCCTGATCATTGCCACCAATTAAACTTGTTCGAGCATATAATCCATCTTCATAATCTTGTGACCAAGAAGTTCTCCACCTTTAATGGAACCTACAAATTCATGACAGTGTTCACAAAATCCAGCAACTGGATTATATTCTGAGCCAGATGAATCTAGTCCACATTTTTAAGATTCTAATTTCAGAATTTCTGACAAAAATTTTGTAAGCATATGTCATTTCCCCCATGCAAATTTAACCTTCCTAGATTTGATTAAAGGTACAAATTATGTAGCTTTTTAGCTTGAAATTTTCTCTATTCTCCTGTTATTTTATCCCCTTTTTCTATGTCCAAATAGCCTACTCAGCACTTGATTCTCAAACACCCACAATTTGTCATACCACTGACATTAAAAATATAAAAACAATAAAACCTATCTGTTGGCTTGGTATAATAACCAGTTTCACCTGAATATGGGAATACAACTCCCAACATGTAAAGTATATTAAATGTATCTCAGTGGACAATGTCTATCATAACTGTGGGGTAATACAATGTGATTAAAACATTTTATGACATTATAAAACCATTTGTGTCTGAATACATAGTGAATGACTTCATTAACCTTTGCACAGATAAAGATGAATGCTCCCCCAACCCATGTCGGAACAATGGAAGCTGTACAGACAGTGTAGCCGATTTCCTATGCTCGTGTCGTGATGGATGGAAAGGGAAAACTTGTAACCTGAAGGACAGTCACTGCGATCGAAGTACTTGCCGTAATGGTGGCACCTGCCAGGATTTGGGTGACACTTATGTGTGCCGTTGCCCACCAGAATGGGAAGGCACAACATGTCACATTGGTGAGTTGCATTTTATGTCATAAATCAATGATGATACACACATATCCAATAGTAGTAGTATTAAAACCTACAAGGAACAGTCCTTTTTAGATGCATCATATCAATGGAATAAAGTTATGACTGGCAGATCAATGTGTCATGGCTATACATGACTATCTGAAAATAGAGACCTGCTATAAAGGATTAAAGTTATACAAAGTGATTCTTAATTACAAACAATAAATATAAAGATTATGTTCTACTCCTAAAGTCAAGCCAGAAAGCTACTGTAAACATACGGCCACTACTGCTTTATTAGCAAGATATGGCAACATTACACACCAGGAATTCTTGGTGCCACAGGGTTCAGTTATACATTCAGACTAACAGAGCACATTTTCAGTAACTTTTGTAAACATTATAAAACTACTAAGAGGCTGTTAACAAGACCAGCAAGCATTAGGAAATCAAATGAAACAAATAACATCATATTTCTAGGAGCGCATTTATGTATTATATTTCAACATAACATCATCTTAATGTACACAAAATACAGCTAGCAGGCTACTTACTAACCATTTAAACAGTTAATTTCTTTCTCATTTTGTGTACTGGTAAAGTAAAAACATATTAATCTCTTAGTACAACACAAAATATTAATGTTGAAAGTACATCTTTATCATGTTTCTTTTCAGCTAAAACACATGCATGTAAGTCCAATCCTTGCCAGAATGGTGCCACATGTGTTAATACCGGTGACTTCTACTCGTGTATTTGCAAAGAAGGCTTTGAAGGCCAGCACTGCCAACATGACATAAATGACTGTAATCCACCACCATGCTTTAATGGTGGTAATTGTGTAGATGGCATTAATTGGTTCCTGTGTGAATGTGCGGCAGGATTTACAGGTCCAGACTGCAGAATTAACATTAATGAATGTGCATCTAATCCTTGTGGATTTGGAAGCACATGCATAGATGGCATTGGCAAGTTCAGCTGTGTCTGTCCTCCTGGACGCAAAGGTGTCCGCTGTGAAGAAGGTGAGCGTTTAATTTAAGATGTGCTCTCAGTTAGCATTCTGTGTACTACTGCTGGTCCACAGCTTAATTCATGCTGATCACAAACTCTAGTCAGAGTTAGATATATTGTACCAAAAATTGCTATTTCACAACTGATGACTTTTTATTTTTTATATCCTTTTGGTTATGAATATATTGCATTGTGACATTTAATGGTGCAACTGGCCAAGAAACTTTTCTTTTTTATATCCTCTTGGTAAATAACAGTTTGCATTGTGACATTTAATGGCGTAACTGGCCAAATGGTGAAGATGACTTGGAGTTTTGGGGGTGGTTACTGCACCCATCAGAAAATGGGAGGCAGATCCATGTTACAGACCCATGTGATCAGAAGTTCCATTTTTTTCCTCAACTTTTTCATAAGCCCTTGTCCACAATTTTTTTTAAAACTGCGAATATCAATTTTGTATTTTCAATTTTAATATCACATATCATAATTGTTTTAATTTCTACTTTGCAAATAAACATGTTTAGATGTGCAAGTAATAATCAGATTTGCAGCCTCTTCGTTGTATCTTACACTGTAAGACGAATAAGCTACCTGTCTCCTGAAAATCCACGGCTGTGTTACCAGTTGGCTGAGAATAAGTTCGTCAATCAAAATGATTAAATTTTTATAAATTTTGAACTCAGAAGTTCTGGTAAGAAATGGGATTATTTCATACCTCTGCAGCCTGAAATAATAAATATGGTACCAAACTCCACTTGCATCAGAACAAACATATGAGGGAATTATTAGAACATACAAGAGGGAATTACCTTATTAACTAAATTTATATTGACCTCAGATCAAGACCTCTTTTGTTGAGTCAAAATAAGCACCCCATCACTTCTGTATTATTGTAGAATGTTAGAGAACAGTTTCTGTAAATGATATGATTGAGCTCAATTTGTAGGGCACCTGTCTGTTACAGAGCTTGTGTTTGGGATAAATTTGCCTTACACTGCATCTTAAAATAGTAGCTTCTGTTTCCTTATTTCTCACCCCTTATTTCAACAGTGAATTACTTCTGCAGTCATATGCCTTTGTTACATTAATCACCAACTCACTACCAGTTTGCACAAAATACATAATTTTACCATATCATCTTTCAAATGTACTTTGTGTTGTTTCAGTGGAGGAAATGGCATACCTACGAGGAGTGTGTTTATGGAAAGGACAGTATTTTACACACAATGCCACATGGCAGCAAGACTGTAACACATGCATATGTGTAGCTTCTGCAGTGAGTTGTACACAAGTGTGGTGTGGCTTAGGGAACTGCCTTAGTCATCCTAACCTCACTGTCGGCTCTGTTGTGTGCCAGTCAAATCAGGTAAGTGTTGCTGTACTTTAACAGTGAATTATAAAGCAATTTACACAGAAATTAAACAATTGAGGTAGAGGTGTGACCAAGAAGTATGACAATTTCTCCTGCCTTATAAAGACTGCCCAATTTAGCATAACTATGAAACAAACTAAATATAAAACATACATAGCATACGCACTGTTAAATATAATAAGATATGTAAGAACTTACATGACCTAACACAAAATCTGAGCAACATGTATGGGAAGTAATGGGTAGGGTGTCAGAAGTGGGAAGCAGTGTGTATTAAGAGAGTGGAAAATCAGACTGAAGCAGAGGTAGTCTTATTTTGTGCCATTGTTTCTGTATACTGTCCAAAGAAACTTCTGTAAGCATATGTACATGCAGAGATGCACAAACACACACATATTCTCTACAAGTGCAGTACCTGGTTCTGAAATATCACAAATGAAGGACAAAAATAAGAAAAGATTAAAGCCATTAGAAATAAATACTACTGGGTGATCTATGAAAGCAAGTAAATTTAATGTAAATACCAGATTTCCTTCATTTCAACATGCACTTTATTTCACATTTTAACATTTTTTAAATCGGGGTGCATCTTACATTTGATGGTGTCTAAGAATTGATATAGCATATTTTTCCTTAAAACCTATTACTAACTCAAGGGTGCATCTTATAATTGATGGTGTCTTAAAATGAAGGATCTATGGTATATGTTAAAATGGTCCATGACAAACTGAAGAATAGTTTGAATTATGAAACTAGACATACTGGTATGCCATGTTAGGTGTGTGTACCATCACCACGTGAAGCATGCCTCACACCCTCCTGTGCACCATGGGGTGAATGCCGTGATCTGGAGAGTGGAAAGCGTGTGGGACCACCCTCACTGCCTGCACCTCCCACCTGCTGGCCAAATCAAGCAGTACTCAGTAACTCTTGTGCTCGCCTCACATTGCTGCTAGACAGAGCTCAGCTCCCACGAGGCGTCACCACTGAAGGCCTCTGCATGGAACTACGCCATCTTGTGGCCTCACATCAAGCAGCCATTGGTGCTTCTCACCGCCTTGTCCTGCTCTGTGACCTGAAGCAAGGTTACAATGATACGCTTGAAGTCACCATGGTAATCTAATACTAATCAATTACTTGTAGTTTCATGATGTAATACTATGTCAACATTTTCACCCCACAAATAAGGGGAGTGAGAAAGGGGTGTAGTGTTTAAGTCCCTGCTTGTATAATATTTTCATAAATGGTATAGAATGTATAAATATAGGCAGTTCTCATGCTCCGCTTATAGGAAGAACTACTTATTCTAGGCCTGCTATTTTCAGTGGTTTATGCAAGATAATAGACCAATCAGTCAGATATTATAAAGAATCTAATTTGATGTGATACACTACAGGCACATGAGTTTCATGTATGCCAGTTGTTAATGCTACTATAAATTGTTGAATCACATTTGGTACTGTGTGTACTTTTCTTCATTTGTGCAAAAAATTAAAAATAAGTCTCTATTTTGCTATACAAGTAAAATAAAAAAAACTTAGGACAATACAGCACATTAGCTTTAGCATTAGCCTGACATTCTGCTGCTTTAAAAACATGTCTTAATTATTTACTTCATTTGCATGGAATCCACAGTCCTCGTTGTCACCTACATCAGGTCCAGAAGAAAACCGAGCAGTGACAGAAGGGATCCGAGTCCTGGGAGAATTCATCAGCCGGAAGCAAACTAACCTATCAGCTCTTACATCTATTGTGGAAGTAAAAGTTGAGACTGCACTTGTCAGTGAAGAAAAACAAGGTAAGCCTACACTTTCTGAACACTGCAGCTTGTTTCTGACATTCAGTATCTGACAGACATCTAACAAATCCCCATTTCTTTTACACTATTAACTGCTTTGAAAATCTAGAAGGAACACAATTACATGCCTAGAATGCAATTACCAACCTTATAAGATAAAGAAAATTATGGTTATGTGTCAGTGTGCTAAGTACAATGCAAGCACTGTTATTTACATAAATGTCAGATATTAAAGAAATTATGTTGAAAATAAAATATTTTGCACTTTTGAGCCACCTTTTACAACAAACACATACACACATAATTACAGAAAACTAGCTTTGAAGCATCAACCAGATTTGTTCAAGGAAGAACTAGCAGAGTTTGTCTCATTAATTCAGTCTGTTGATGGCAAAGAAAAGGTTGATACATTTATGAAAATATCACAGACCTCATATTTAAGAAGAGGAAAGGAGTATATCTTCAATGGACTATATTCAAATTACAAATGATTTGTTTTTCAGGAAATGGATATTTAATAGCACTTATCTGCATAATCCTCATTATCCTGTTTGCTGTCGGTGTGGGTGGTTTATATTATTGGCACCAGATGTTAAGACAAAGACATGGATCAGGAACTCTGACAGGTTCAACAACCCTAGGAGGACCTTGTCATCGGCATCATGATGATGAGAAATCCAACAATCTTCAGAATGAAGAGAACTTGCGGCGTTATGCAAACCCTTTGAAAGATGAAGCTGGGTCTACAATGGTGGGAAGTGCTTCAAGCAAAGTAGGGCCAGGAGTAGGGTCAGGTGTTGAAGGTTCGGGAACATCCGATCTACCACGAGTTAGTGTTGTAAGACCACTGTCATCTACCACAGGACCAGGTGAACCACCAGGAACAGGGAGTGGAGCAGAAATGCTGGAACTGATGTAGTCAGAGTTCTGACCCTCACCCTGGCCTGCACTCGACACATCGAAGCAGCCAGATCTTGCTGTTCAAAGCACAGAATCCAGATGTCAGAAAAAACACTGCAGCAACATTTGATGATGCAGGAGCGCATAAAGACTTTGCTAAGCGTATCATTAATCTGAAGGTACTTCCACCACTACAAAGGACGTTACAACCTCCTCAAATGGAGAGAAGTGGCGGAGGGGGTGGTGATGTGCTTACAGTGATAGTGTGAATGATGTGGCTTCATTATGATGCTGACAGATTGCCATAAAATAAAAATTTTAATTTAAATAAGACTTACATTTCAACATACTTTCTCATGTGCATTTGGGTTAAGTGCAATGCTATCAAAGTTTAAAACTTGCCATCTTTTAGTTTATGTCATAAGTTAATACTTCATTTAAAAATATGCAGAAACTCTCATAATCCAGTAATGCCAAATGAGAAGTACTCCTATTAATCAACTATATTGGTATGGCTTGTATTTAGGAAGAAATATTTTCTACTCAGACTAGACAGTAACATCTGCTTGACTCTGAAAAGATATGCCATTATTACCAGATGCTGACTATAAACCAAACATGTTTTAGAATGTTGTGCTTACATTTGGATGATATAGTCACCCAAGATTATGCAATGTGGCTTGAGACACTTCACAGTTTCACCAGTCAATTACAACATTAGATTCACATTCCTGGCAGACATCAACCAATAAAATGATCTCGAAAGAACAATAGCCATGTGTGTACTTCAGAACTACTGACAAACTGAAGGGTACAGTCAATACTATTCACGGAACAATGCAGAGTGTGATATTACTTATTGTATTACTGTGTAACTTGGCACTAACAACTTAAGTGTAGCTGTTAATGCCTCATATGGATATCAAGTGTTGCAGAAGCTGAAGCAAAGTGGGTCAGCACAAGAGACAATTTCTTTAAGTGAGCTTTTTTAAGATTTTATAGATGAGTTATACTGTAATGTATCTGTATAATTTGTATATTTATTTGATTTGTTCCTGATATTGTGTGTGAGATTATCACCAACTTTATACATAATAATGGAATTATCATTATTGAAATTCATAATAGGTTTGTGAATTCAAACTGACCTTGTGATGGTTACATCTCAGAGTAGCCCAATAAGCATTATGTTTTACAATCCCTATAGAAATAAATAAATAGAAACAGTGAAATTTGACATACACCATAAAGGAAGTAAGTCAGCTTTACCAAGAATTAGGATGTGAGCTTCCTGCCAAAAGCACAACATACATCAGTGTAAGATGTCTTACTTTCATGGTCATCCACATAAAACTTTACATTTCTTCTACTGGGTGTGTTGTGTAATGGCAGGAAAGGTTTCTGACATTTCTGAGGAACACATGTCCTTCACACAGTTCAACCCCTGCCTGCTGTTTCGTATATATGCCATTTCTCACCCAGTCAAAATCATTTTTACCCTGTAGATGGAGGTAGTATGTTCCTCCAAAACATTGTATAACTTTCCACCTCTAAACACCAACAACCCAAACGTTATGCTGCAGTGGCTGTAGTATGTAGACTGGGGTCTTATACTGAACAGGGACAAGGATATTTCTTTGACCATCACATCCAAACTTGTTATGAATCTCATTCATATGACTATCCAATGGATACAGAATGGTCTGTACTTGGAGATATGTAAGCCAGAGCACGAAGCTAAGTTTCATGTTGTACAGACCTACAAATCATAAAGCTTTATCCCTAGACTTCCTATGTCTTCATGACATGATGTTTGCCATCACCTAGTTTAATTCGTGTAAACAACTTTTTGAACTACAAAAAATTTGTCAACATTAACCCACTGCTAATTAACACCGTCTCCAAGTCATAGCCAGCTGCTGTGTCTAAACTTCCACACCACATCTCTAAAATGTTAGGACCTATAATTTGGGGGCTATTTCAAGAAGTCAAGGGTTTAAATATTTTATAAATCAAATTTAGTCATATGTAAAATAAGAAATTGTAGGGATTGTATAACATGTAGATACCATAAGCCAATTCTGCTGTACATATGTATGTAAATAGTTTAATTTGTTTTTAAGGGCTAGTGTATATTAGAAGATACATATTTATACATTTATAAAAAGTCATAAATTTCATTCTCAGCATTATTCAGGTAAAATCAGCTACATTACTGGATGGGAATTGGCATTCTGATTCAGTCATTATTGAAAGTTGTGAAGTAATTAGTTATGTAATACTTTAAATATCTTCAGAGGCACCAAAGTAAGATTAAGCCTCATGAAATGTAGGATGACAGAGTCTCCTAGATCACAGGGAAAAAAAATAAACTGCTGTCTATCAATACTAACTGGTGGGCAGTACTCGTAAAGTGACATACCAATACATTTTGTAAAAACTACAGTTAATAATAGTTTATAGATTATATTGTGCTTTTCAGTTTGTTTAGCTGCCATCCATACAGGTATCTTGTTATCAGCTTTTAGTGATGTTTTAAGGAAGAAGTTTCTCTGTGGCAAAGGAATTAGATTACTCTTCTTCAGTTGGGTGGTCTATGGTTGTTTGTACTTAGCTGTTCTGAAGTCATGTCAAAAGATATGCAAGGTTGTGATTTTATACATGGTATAAACAGTTTCACTGCACTTTTCACTGAGTATGTCTACCCACATTTTCAAATGTAATTAATGGACCCATTTGTTTTATCAATGAAAAACCAGCACATATTGCTACAGTCAGTTTTATCATAAAACATGAACTTCAAAGTGCCTTTGATGGTGATTAAGCTAAATGAATAAATGAAAAACTGGCACTTACTGCTATAGTCAGTTTTATCATAAAACATGAACTTCAAAGTGCCTTTGATGGCGATTAACCTTAATGAATAATTTTATAGCTATCTACAACATATTGAAGTGCCTGATTTTAAACATAAATGTTTAGTGAATATAAGGAACATACTGTTTACAGCTGATAGCTATTACATTTTATGAACAGTGCTTGAAATGGGGATACTGAGATGAATTCTGTTATAATTATTTTCAAGTTATTAATAATATTCTGTATAAATTTAGGCCATAATAAAACTACAATTTCATATAACTAACAAGTTTATATTTATTTTATTTCAAAACTAATATATTAACAACTGTCAGAAATACCACACAGAGAACTCCTTGTCCAGAGAACAGTTAATATTTACATCAAAAGGAATAGCAGCATTACACTTTATCAATTAGCGTGGTCTACCAAATAGATTGTTTCTTATATGTTCCATTCTTCTAAATTATGTTTATGGAGCTATGATTATTTTGAACTGTGAATTGCTGAGGATTCTGTATCATACAACATTGGTTTATTTTATTAAATCCAACAATTTGCTAGAAAGACTGAGAAAAACCAGAAGTACCACAATTAGAATATGGTACCCAGTTTCAAGAATAAATTTCCTAAATACAAACTTGAACTGAACTTGTGTAACAATAATTATACACATTTGTCACGCCATTGTTAGAAGCCTTTAAACTTTACTGAACTTGATGTTACAGAAGTATACATAACCCTATTTCAAGCTCTGGAAAATCAGAACCATACATCACGTTGATAATGTATTACATATCTGCTCTCTAACACAGACATACACTACAAATAAGAGTATCCACAATCTTGGTGATTTATTAATGTGTTAATACTGGCAGTGTCTGGAATGAAGGCAATTTTGTATTGTATCTGAGAATAGGATAAGTAATTTTAGATGATTAGTGAGAATCATACTGTTTTAGAGTGATACATTCAGTGCCTGAAGGCTCTAACCTCTCAAAATATAAATGCCTATGCTTATATTAGAAGGAACTATATTTTTATGTGTCATGTTTTGTGTACATAAAACTGAAAGTGCCCATGTATATTTTAAAACATTTAAGATGTAAAGCAATCAGGCTACCTTATGTAGTTAAGTATCTCATGATCAGTATTGCTTCAGTATGTTGGAAGTTGGTTTGGTGTCGTATCATTAAGAAGTACACATGAATTAAACCTTCTATTAAAAAGGCCCTTTATTAAACAAATATAAACTCCAGAGGAGTTATAATTTTTGTCTACATCTGTATGTTTTGTAGTTTCATAAATTCAATTCTTTTATAAAGACAATAAATTTGACTGGCTGATTGGGAGGGAAGTGAGAATGTGTTGCTCTATTTTATGCACTAGTTCATTTCATACATTGTAAGATATCTGCTTGTTAAAGTGGTAAAAATAAAAATAATCAATTTTGAGTACTAATTATTTGTTATATCATTGTCAATAGATGAGGTTATAAAGCATCAAGCATATGTTTAGTATGGTAACTGTGGCAGGGGTCAGCTCATTTTAACTGTGTTCTGCTCTCCTTGTCTTTGGCATTTTGTGGTCAGTGCATAGCTTTGGTTTTTGCAGATATGCCACAACGATTGTTACAACTGCAATGTTGCTGAAATGGAATATGCTTTGCTAAGTTAGATATAAAGTGACCGACAAGAACAAGGTGGGTGGTGCACAAAGAAAGAGCAAAATACAAATTGTGACCTTGCCCTCACTAATTCTTTGCACACTTCTAATCCTTGTATCATACACTTCGGCAGCATGTTACTGTGCTTTGGCAACATCGTGTATTGGCATGCCTGCATCTGCTTTACTCTTGAAGTAACTGAATACTTTAAACACCAAATGCCAGAGCGAGGGCACAGCAAGTGACTGATTGGTTAACATGGGCACATGGCAGTAGATAGAATCATCCAAAACTCAGCTGTCATCGTACACGTCGAGTCAGTGTAGCAAAGGATTAATGTGCCAAGACTGAAATGTACAATTCCAAAATAAGGTAGACTTCAGAAAATATCTCATCTAGCAAGCAACAGTTCATGATCACTGAAGCAAAATTACCCCTAGACCAGCAACAGTACCAATAAACTATTGAAACAATTCAATTAATTTGACATATTTGAAGGCAGAGTACTGAAAGAAGATTCACAGGTTTTTCAAGTTGGCAGCAATGCATCAATTTTCAGATTGCCAATATAACAAACAATTTGGAGCAAGACATGCTAAATTAGATCATAAACATACCTATAAATTAAAAATGAAGTTCTGTTTGTAATACAACAGCTGCAGACATGGCAACAGAACTATATCTTTCGAGGTTATATGTGATAAATTTCACACTAACGGAACATAAGTTCCAACGAACAAGAAAATTAATATTCTGTAACACATGATCTTAATCCAATCCACTGTCCCAAAACGCTAACCCACACTATGCACACACCGCAATATGGCGCGGCAGTTCACTTATATTTATATAAGTTCAAGCCCTCGCGCGCGACAGTTCACTTATCTTTACATTAGTTCATGTCTTTGCCAATAGAGGGCGAAGCAGATCACATAGCTTTGAGTTTTCCATGTTTCCAACCGGGTTACAGAATACTCAAAGTGGTAAATGGGTCAGAAGATTTTCGCGGGCCCATTACTTTATACATTCCCAACAGATGGCGCGGCAGTTCACTTATCTGCTTTAGTTCATGTACTCGCTATGCAAAACCAGGCTTCATTAGTTACGTCCGAAATTATTTCTAACCATTTTCCAAATAATTTTCTTTCAGGTGGGCTGCCAACCCTTCGGCACCATCCTCGTCTGTGTGCTGTTCAGCACAAAAGTTTTCCCAAATTTCCAAATCTAATTCAGACACAGAGGAAATTTTCAGGGACTCCCAATTTTCAAAATATTGGTTTTAGTAGAGGCCCTCATAGTTTAATATCTATATTTTTACAAAAGAAACAGAACCGACAGTATAAAAATATTAGAGGCAGAACGAACGATACAATTGAAATCAGTATAATTACATTTATTGTATCCTGTATTAAAATTTGTGAGTACGTTCTGTAAAGCCCTCTTTCACCTTGAATTTATTGTCCGCTTAAGAATTTGAAGTTTCTCCCCGAGGGAAGGAAATTTTAGAACAATAAGAGAAATTTATTTTCTATTACTCCCACTACTGTAAATGTAAACTTGTGCCGACTGTATTATTAGTTATCATCGTAGGTGGTCATAGATGGTTACATGTGTAATTTGTATTTTTAGATGGTTGGTTAGGAGAGTTCTAGCTGACGAATTTGTTTGAAGAAAACTTTCGCAATTTTATAAATAACGAAAACCCAATTTAAAAAGAAAATGGCTTTTAATTTTTTATTACGTGGTGTGTCAATGAAACTGAAGGGTAAGGTGTATGAACAGCTGACCGATATACAAACATTCTGTCAAAATATCCAGTGTTTAAATCCAGGCATTTTCGTAGCCGTGTAAGAACACTGACACGGAACCTTTCGAATTACTAATAAGCCAAAGTTTGTACGAAATATGTCGATAGGTTGACTTTAGTAAATGTAACACAAATTGCATACAGCCATGTGCTCGAGCAGTTTGCAAGTAACCCTACGTAAGTAGGATTTGAGGTTTTCACAGCTGTGGGACTGAAGATGGCTGTCTTCTGGGTTGAGTAGTCTGGTAGAAGTTTATTGACGTTTTAGAGGATCTTGCTGCCTCCATCATCAGGGCAATCACTTGTCTTCAAATCCTATATAGTTTGTATTGCAGTAAGTTTCTGTATTTAATGCCCCATGTACCATCAAGAAAACATAGAAATGATTCATGGTAAATTAAAATTAAGAGACCTTTTCCCACCCTTGTATTCCTTTGAAGGGGTCAGAAGAGAAGCATGGTAACATTTATTAGGCTGTAAATACAATACAGGGCAATAGTACATTAAACACCTCATGTAGTAACATAAATGCAGATAGAAAATATGTAAGAATTTATAATTAAATTCTTGATGTGTGAGTTAAAAGAATTATTTTAATGCTATTGTTTTTTAGTCATAGACAAGCATTTAATCTTGAGAGGGAGCTTATTGTACATTTTTATCTCTGCGTACCTTTTTGATAAACTGTAAGATTAGCAGTTGGTTTGTGAAGATCATCTTTGTGTGTTGCATTAATTTCATGAATCACAAATTTTGGAACACTTTTATGTCAACTCTAAATGTTATTAGAACAAATAAATAGAAGATAAATAGTTAATCTCAGAGATATAACTTTTCCCTTCCCATCCTATCCTTTATTTTCTTGTCAACAAAATAGGTTTAGTCATTGAAGTTGCTCATGGAAACAAACTATTACATTTACTCTTGTTTTGATTATTAATGGTGACCAGGGACTGTAACTTTATCACAGTGTAATACTTCTGATAAAGACCCAGATTTGTGGCAGCATTATGTAGCAGTTCGGTTCTTACTAATTTTATCAAAACCTTGTCAAAATTAAATACTAGGTACACTGCTGATTGCACTACATTGAGTCTTGATTGTGACAGAAAAAATCCCTTTGATTTTGATCTTCTAGATTGTAACACTGTGTGAGCTTGTAGGTATATACCAACATTATGAATGATATATTGCCTCTGTGTTCAGGGCTAGTATAGCCATCACAGTATTATAACCCAGAAGACAACATTAGCAAGTTTATTCCTATGAGAATCTTAAGTTTCATATTAGGATAGAAACCCATATATGAAAACTGTTGTGCTATGTTAAACTGTAATGTAGCTGTCTCGTGTATTTTGCAGTTTGCCCATTGCAGTCACTAACGAAAGGACATCTGCTGAAATGCAGTTCTGTGGCAAGCAACAATCAGTTCCACCATACATTTGCCTTTCAGTTACCTCTGTACCCCCAGAAAAGGACACCCGAGCAGAATATTCTCTGTGTTACACCACCTCAGCCTCATATAATGATGCAGAATGCAAAACAGTTGTCACTAAGTGCCAAACAGATGGCACAACATGATCATACAAAACTTTGGACTGCAGAAAAAGCTGTTAGTGCTAGTCTCCTTGGGATTGTACCTGCAGCATTTCTTGTCCCTTCTCAATTTATGGACTATCTGTTGGCAATAACAATTGTAATGCATAATCATTGGTAAGTATGACATTTTACATTCTGCTGTAAAGGTAATGTATATATCCTTGTATATAAGACAGGACTAGTTATTTTTGCATCTGAAGTAGATTTTTAAGATAGTTACCCTTTACAAATAAAATATAAGTTAATTTACAATAAAATCCTCTCGGGCTATCAGCCGCGTCAAGTGGTTAAAACATGAAGAAACCGATGTTTCGATGTCCATCTCTGACCTCGTCCTCAGGGTACTGAAGTGGTTATACCCAGAATGATATCAAGCGTGCTCTACAGCCTAAATGGAGGCCAAAATTAAATGATGAAAAGCCTACCAGCATAGCTTTAATACTGTATCAAAAAAACCATTACAAACAAAATCAGCAGGCTTTTGGCCAAATATAACATTAAGACTGTTCATATTCCACAAATGAAAAACATGTATTTGCTCAGGCTGATGAAGGATGACTTAGGTCTAAAGGTCCCTAGGGTGTATAGTATTCTATGTGTATGTGGTAGAGTATACGTAGGCCAGACGGGGAGATCAGTTGAGGCCAGATGTAAAGAACATATGAGGCATGTACGTCTCAAACAGCCGGATAAGTCGGCAGTAGCAGAACACAACTTCAACATGGCACCGTATTGACTTTAGCGGTACTTCAGTATTGGATAGGGCAACAGGCTACATGGACCGCATCGTGAAGGAGGCAATTGAACACTGCAAATATCAACAGAGACGGAGGTTTCATGTTAAGCCGGGCCTGGTATCCTGTGTTGAATATGTTGTCTAACCAGCAAGCCGGGCATAACAAGGCGAGTTCATGACGTCATCCACCAGTCACACAGGCCCGGAGCAGGTATATATATGACAAGGTTGAGAGCCCCAACCACTTCAGTACCCTGAGGACGAGGTCAGAGATGGACCTCGAAACGTCGGTTTCTTCATGTTTTAACCACTTGACACAGCTGATAGCCCAAGAGGATTTTATTGTACATAGTCGCTGTGAAAGCTCAAGATCATACATAAGTTAATTTACTTAATAAAAATATAATTTAAAAAAGTTTCATTAAAAGTTCTTCATTCATACTTATCCATGGTACAGAATATTTCTTTCACTCAAATTATAATTTCTTCTATTTGGTTATTTCCTACAGCCTTTGATTCATTATTGCTAGTTTTTTTTCTTTTTTCCTGTCCATTATTTTAGCCATGTATGTGTAGCTGCTGTCTCCATAAACTATAGAGACAGACATGCGAGTGAATTGATTTATGACACAAATATAGTAAATGTAAGGTAAACCATATTTTTTGGAAATAATGGGTGTTGCAAATGTCTTCAATTTACTTACAACTTCCTTACATTTCAGGTTTTTGTAACACATTATAAAAGTGATTTCACATCAGATTAAAACACTGCTTGTTTTTTGTATTTTCTTTTACACAGTATTTGATGGAACTGTGCAATTATAATCCACCACTATCATCCCTCGATCCCAGAACATAGTTACATGTCTTAGCCATTGTTAGCAAACATTTACTTAGCAGGAAGTTCCTTCTTTTCTTTAAATTTCTGTATTACATGAACAGGCATAAGTGTTGTGATATAGACTGCTGTAACAAGGGAAGTATTATTTTGATGGATTAACATACTATGCAGACTGTCTTACCAAATTTGGATTTGTTTTCAGGGGCATTGAGGCGGTAGTCTTAGACTATGTGCGCCCATCAATATTTGGGAATGTGATTCCCAAAATTGCACTTGGTACAGTGTATGCTTTGTCAATTGCCACACTGGCTGGGCTGTTCTTCTTCATTACCAATGATGTGGGCATAGTTCACGCCATCAAGCAATTCTGGAAGCTGTAATAGAAGTTATTAGTTTTGGAAAAAATAGATGTCTGCTTGCTTGTGCTGGAAACATTTTGCATCTTGCATTTGTTTATGAAAAACTTTTGTGAATTCATGAATTTATGCTAGTTACTGAAAAAGTGTTGTAAAATAAAGTATACATAAATATTAATTAATACTATATTATCAGTATTGAATGTGGAAACAATAAATAAATTAAAAACTTTTGTGGTAATGAAATCTCTTGTTTCAAGCTAATCATTAGAATTATCTCATAGACAAAGCCAGTCTGAACATGGTTTTGCAATTTGGTTCTCAATGCAATGTAGATAATCCTCATAAATACATTTGCCACATACTCATATATAAAAGAAATTAATCAGTGTAAACATTTAAAATGCAACCCAACAGTCATGTACTGTGGTACAAAAATTAAACAGAAGCATGTCCATCCCCATGTAATTGACTTTCCTAACCTACTGTGCGACATCCGAGTTGAGGTCACCCTGGTTGCTAGGTTGTTGCTCGTGCAGAAAACTGAAATTATTGCTGTACCAATTTCAAGGACTGCATCATCTTCAACAGTGGGATAAGGTTGCAAGAATTCAATACAGCTATTGTTTTCATTATTTTGTACATGAAGGGGTTTGTGTGTGGTAGTTAGGGATGCATTTTAAATGGAACACTGTATAAACCCTAGAAAAATTGCATCTTTATGCCATTTAGTTATTCTGTATCCTGATATTGGTAGACTTAAGAAAGTGATATAAATCATAAGTTTTATTACATTAGAGATGGTAGCAGGTTTACATTTCTGGTTCTGATGTCAAATTCTTACAAGTATATTTGCTTTAATGAAAACCTGATGAAAGACTAAGCCATGTGACTTAAAACACAAATAAACTGCATCTTAATACAACCTAGAATCAACAGAAGCGCATTACAAAATCTTTAAATTACAAATAGGCTTCAATGCCAAATTTTAGTGACTGGGGGAGGGGGAAACAACAACAACAACAAACAAATAAACCAAATACTGTTACTCTTGCCTAAAAATCTTCAGAAGCAGATCTCATTTATTCCACCAGAGTGGTGCTGGAACAATGTGGACAACCTGCACTGCTTCTTATTGGCAAGAAACTTCTGATGTAAATTTGGCACAAGACAGCAAAAATATTTGTAATCCTTGCCTTACAGTTATCTTCTTATATATATGAATACTGAACATTTTAAAACGAAATTATTTAACCCTTTCAAATTTAAATACCCATGGTTCCTCTGTCAGATACACTTCAATAAATGAATACAAGATTTAAAGTAAATATTACACCAAGTTACACAGCTGTATGGTCAGATAGCAGTTTTATAATGGAACAATGGATTCAGAAGCTTCTCTTATCAATATTTATCCTTACTAGTCATTCTCAGCCATGCAAATGCTAGAGGAAATAAAAGAAAATTATTCGTGATATTGGCAATTCACTGGATATTCTTATGGCAATCAGAATAAGTCTAATATATATGTGAATCTTCGTAATTAGGTATAAATTAATTTTGCTTAACTCCATAACACTCAGCAAACATTTAATTCACCCATATAATCATCATCATCATCATCATCACTGCTCTCTGTGTTATACACTTCTCATATTCATCTTTCAACTTTTTGGCCATGTTAAAGAATAACATTTACAAGAGGAACATCAGGCTACTAGCACCCAAACTAATAATGATGTGCAGTTTCATTTCAATATTATATAAGTTTACAAATGTGTGTTCTTAAACAACAAATTTCAAATTATTCACATGGCCACTGATAGATTGCAAGAGTCTTCACAAAAGAGAAAAAGTTATGGTAAATTTGTGTCAAGTCGAACTTGACATAAGACCTCCCAAAACTAACTCTGTGGAGCAGAGTCATTATTGAGAACAATTATATTCACTGAACTAGTAAAATTTCCTGCCTTAAAATCCATTTTAGTATTATCCTCCCATCTATGCCCAGGTCTTCCAAGTGATTCTTCACCTCAGGCTTCCCAATCAAAAATGATATATCCATTTCTCATCTCTCCCATGAAAGGTAGATATTTGGTGAATAGCAAAAATTATGGAGCTCATAATGCAGTTTGGTCCAGCCTCCTGCGAGATGGGAACAAAATGTGTCTCAGCCAACTTTATGTTGGAGACTGCAAAGGGTTAAAAAATGGCAATTAAGTTTTATGATCTTTGACATTAACACAGGGCTGACTGACCTTTGTGCAGTACAGTATCAGTTGATTCTACTGACTGTAGAACTGTAGGTACTGTTTTTGCCACGCTCATTGAGTGTCATATCACTTTGTATTAAACTTATTCTTCAAAAACAATATCAGATTATGAACTCCACAGTGATACGTATACTGTTGCTGTCTGGAAGCCCGCAAGGCAACATCACTATGAGACAAAAGGTGGTCGTTACATGAAAGTTTTCATGGGTGATTCAAGCTTTGAGCTCAGTGAGATTGGCAGGTAAGGGTGGAACATACACACGATCTTTAATGAAACCCCATAAGAAAAAATTGAGAGGTGTCAAATCTGGAGAACGAGGTGGCCATGCTATCGACCCTGTTCGACCAATCCACCGACCTGGGAAACGGTTATTGAGGAAATCCCGGACTTCTGTGAGGTAGTGAGGTGGTGCGCTGTCTTGCTGGAAGTGAATGCGTCCTTTTTGGTCATCTTCGTCTAACTGAGAAAATTTTCAAATGCACTGCAGCTTGCGCTCGCAGTGACGGAATTCGGTACTACAGCACAACGTGAGTCAAACTTGATTTGTTTTGCTACAAAATGACACCTCAACCGATTCTGTAAGCCTTCTGAATAAATTTCTATACACTTTCAAAGTTGTAAAGTCCTTTTTGAATCACCTGGTATAAACTACAAATAAATAAACAGTAAATAATACCAGTGGCAGTGGTGATTTTTATGGATTTATCATGTGTACCATGTTAGAAACTTGTCCTACAGGTGATACAATATTTGGGCAACATTTTATTAGTATTAAATATAAGCCATATTTCCATAAGTACATGAAATCAGGATGTTGGTTCTGTCACCTTCTTATACGCAAAACAATTGTTTTCCTTTATAGTCTCATGATCACACCATTCCATGTTCTACTGTGTCATGCTGTGAACCTTGAATATTCAAGTCAGGGACGAATCATTTCAAAACAATTTGCGTTTGAATCATGTCTGACTAAATGCACATTACTTTTGATCCACAGAAGATGCATTTATATGTTCTGAATCAGCTCATTGGCTGAATGGCTCAAACAGCATTTAGATGTGACATGAACTATTCAGTCTTATGACACATTTAAGATTTAGTTTACAATAAGTGGACAGTTTTGGGATGACAATATAAGAACAATAATAAAGGATTCTTATTATAATAAATACTGAACTTAAGGATTTGTATTTTTCTTTCAAAGTTGGTTTATATGATATTTACAACAGTTCACAAAATATTGCCTCATATATAAACTATATGTAATTGTTTGCAATGAAATTCAAGGGATCTACATGTTTTGATAGAAATGGGTTTCAATATGTGCAGTGAATATAAACTTATTCAAATTGAGATAGTATTCTACTGCGTGACTCTGGATTCACTGGGCGTGATCAATTGTCGGAGAGTACCATGATGTGTCTGAAATAATATAAATATTGTGTATTTTATGTAAAGTATCTTGGTGGCTAAGTGAAAACTCATCCATGAAAATCTTAGTTGTTGCCTCAGGAAGAAGAACCTTCATAATGTAATCAGAGTATGTCACATAACTGTGCTTATGGCAGAAGGTTTCTCTCAAGAGTGATTTTTTTTTAACTGTAGTAACAGCATAGTGGAGATTATTTGAGGCAGTGCCACCTTTCTTGAATTGTTCATGGCGCCAGCAATATTTCTTACCCTTCATAATGTCACAAAGATGTTGCACATTGTTTTTAAACCTTTGCTCCAGCTGTTGCAATGTGAGATGTGAAACTTTGAAGTCCTGTCCTTCATTGTCATTACTTGTTGCTTCTTGTTCATGTTTGGTCTCAGAGTTATCACTACTGGTTGCTACTTCTTGTCTGTACTTGGTTTCAAAATTGTTATTAGTTTTCAAAGAGGCATCTGAAACGATTTTTAACTCTTGCTGCCCAATACCACATATTAAAGAATCATTAGATAACCCAATTTTTTCTTCTAATTCTTTTCTTGATGAAATGCTCAAATGTTCATTATGAATATCATCAGAATTTGTAGTATTTACAGTGTTTTTTAAATGTTGCTGGAAAACACTGTGAAATGTCGATCTCTTACCACAATTTTCTGGATCTTCTCTTCTAGGGACAATGACAGAATGACAAGGTGAATGATTCAATTGAGAGTTGTTCTCATGAACAGTCCCACAAATCGAATTATCTGTAATTTCAAAATTCCTAGCAACAGAACATTTTACAACCTGAACAGGAGATCCAAAATATAATGGAATACCTGCATTAACTTTCTTAGAGGCATCTACTAACGGTTTCTGCCTCTTTCTTTTAGTAAAAAGTTTACTACACTTTCCTTGCTTAGTAGGTTTTGAACAATTACCCAAGGGCATTTCAGTCTTGTTGCTACTTTTGACAGTATCATAATCCGCTAATTTGGACTTGGCCAACTGATTTCTGAGAGCATATCTGCAACCTTTTACACGGTGATCTAATGATTGGAGACTGTTAACTGGAGTATCTTCATTTCTATTTGTATATTCTATTCCAAACTGTGTTGTGTGGACAGGTGTACCTGGCACACAGTCATCACTGTCTGATATACTATCTGGAGTTTTAACACTTTGTTCTGATTCACTACATGATGAAATGTGTTTTGTGTTTTTCATTTTAAAGTAATGTTTTATTGTTGGATTCCTTCCACTTTTTTGCTTTCCAGTCAATTTAGATGATTTTTTCTTAATTGTATCGGATTCCTTATTGGAAGCTAATTTCATCCCATGTGTTTCTAGAGTACAAATTTTACTTTCTCTGTTTGAACTGCAGTTTCCTCTAGATGGCTCTAAATTTTTACCTTCATTCTCTGTCACCTTCTCTTCAACTTCACTTCCATCACTGGTTTTGTCATATTGACATCTCACAGTATTTTTTATCACAGTCTTTAAAACATCACTCTCCTTTTTACAACTACTTCCACTGGTGCTTTTTCCCCCCTCTTTTTCTTCACTGACAGCAATATTGAGCTTTCTCGTGAACAAATTCTCCTCATATCTATCCCTAAAGCTTTCCCTATCTGACTGCTTTCTGTCACCACCTGATTCTGAATTGCACCATGTTTCCTGTTCACTCTTTGCACTACTATAATTATTTGATATATTTTGTTTTTCAGTAGGTCTTAGCCTAGTTAGTAATACTTCAGAAGGTGATGTCCTATTCACAAACTCCATTTCTGAAACAGTATTTTTATCAAGAGAAGAATGTTCCGGAGGACTACTAGAGTTTATATACCATTTGCTAACTGATGCAGTGTATTTAGAATATTTCTCAATAGGGAAGATGTCCTCTAGATTGTTTGACTCACAGCTTTGTGGACTGAAGCTATAAGAATAACCAGGTGAACTGTCAGCAACCAAATATGCATTTGTGAGGTCTTGGGGGTTTTCTCTGTTTAATTTAACATCACTGTCTAGCACTTGAGAATCTTCAACAGTATACCATATTACTTCACCGAAAAGTATATTACTTGTCACATAATTCATTTTCAGGTTTCTTGTTCTATTTATTTCATTTATAGAGCTCCCTGAATCACAGCTTCGAACTTCTGGATATATGTCTCTGGAAAATAAGTAATAATGATTTGAATAAAAAGTTTTTTTGGATGTTTTCCATCATCTAATAAAATAATGAAATTGAACGATGTTTTGGAGCTCTAACGTTTGGGCCCAACAGAGTAAGTATACCTGAAGACTGAGATAGAGTACCATCTCTGAAACATCGTTCAATTCTATTATTTTATTAGATGATGGAAAACACCCAAAAAAAATTTATTTAAATAATGCACCATCGTCACAGACTTTTAGATTTGAAATAATGATTTGGTACACTAACATACCATTATGCCTACGAAGTGGAAGCCTGATGATAATGATAATAGTATATATGTTATATTCAGTACTTCACACACTTATGTAACCACTGATATAATGCAAAACTGACAGATAGAAAGTATTATACATCCACTAAGGTGTTCAGCCATAATTTCTGTAAGAAATTAACAAAACTCTCAATGTTGTAGTTTTTAATGTTCTTGCTCCTTGTTTAATAATATTCTATAC